TCCACCAGCCACTTCGTGGAAAAAAAAAAAAAAAGAAAATTAAAAGTGTAGGTATTTTGAAGTACTGGGCTTATACTTCATTGGAATAGATGTGTACAGCAATAAGCAGGTTTTCAAATCCAGTACTTAGTTTGTGTACAAATGTAATTATGTTCATTGTGTATATATTATACAATGAGCACATGTAATGTAAGTATTAAAGGCTACTTACTATTGTTTAAATGCAAATGTTCATATCTCATTTCTTTTATATCATGTTAAAATAAATGTTGATGTTCTTAAATCACTTGTGTTAGAATTTTTCTTACTTTTCTATCTAAAATGGAAAATCTGAGACTCAAGAGACTTCCAGAAAGAAAATGTAGTCTGTTAATCTTATAATCCTTAGACAACATCATAAAAGAGCCTTATCCTAGCCCTCCCATGTCAAAGTTGAAGCGCTTGAGGCCTAGAGAGAGAAATTGAGTTGACTACAGCCACGTTATATTAACACAATTTAGACTAGAACATAGTTTTTCTGACTTTTGTCCTCTTGACCATCAGCTCATCACAACTAGGCAAATTTAGGGTTTTGAAGCCTTCTACTCTCCACATATTTCTGTTTGTTTCCACATTTTAGAAAATAGCTTCAAGCATTTGCAGTCTCCCTCTGCCTGGTGGAGTGAACCTAGAGGGGGGGTAGGGCAGAGAGGATCATTTCTGTGACATGGGTAGCTAGAAACTGTTTCATAAGTAGGACCCTCAGAAATCATTTTCTCTTACAATACATTCTTTGCAGATGTTCACGCTCTTCAGAATCAATTACATTCTCTTTATAATCTTTTGTTCATGCTATATATTGTTCCCAGAGTCCAAGGCATCTTGATGGTTTTGAATTCCTATATAAAATGGCTGAAACTAAATTGGCACTGGTCAGGTTTTTTTTTGTTTTGTTTTCCTTTGCTATATTAAAGAATTTAGATTTAATTCAGAATGCAGATTATAAAAAAAATTCATCTGCCCCAAATAAGAAAACATAAAATGAAATGCAAATAAATACAGTTTTTATCATAGGAAAAGAATGAAAAGAGAATGTTAAAATGGAAGGAGATTGTTTAGCTTTCTGTACCCATATAAACTTGGGTTCACAATTTTACTTTTGTCAAAGGGTGTCACACAAAAGCCTTCTCAAACAAAGGAAATCATCAAGAATTTTCTTCAGTTATGACTATTGTTATAGATCTTCTGCCAGTGTATTGGTGGAAGAGTTTCTGTTACTGTTTGTGTTTTATGTTTGTTTGTTTTTTGCCTTGGTGTTTATAAAGTACAACATTTTTTTACTCTTCCAAGAAGGGATATCACTGCTGATGTTAGATGAATTCTGGCTAAAAACAATGAATACCAAAAAGATCTTTACCTGTTTTATTGACTATGCAAAGGCATTTGACTGTGTGGATGGTTCATAACAAATTATGAATAACACTGGAAAGAATGGGAATTCCAGAACAACTTAATTGTGCTCATGAGGAACCTGTACATAGACCAAGAGGCTGTCATGAGAATAGAACAAGGAGATACTGCATGGTTTAAAATGAGGAAGGGTATGCACCAGGGTTGTGTCCTTTCACCATACTTATTCAATCTGTATACTGAGCAAATAATCCAAGAAGCTGGACTATATGAAGAAGAATGCTGAATCTGAATTGGAGGAAGACTCATTAAACAACCTGTGATATGCAAATGACAACCTTGCTTGCTGAAAGTGAGAGAGGACTGGAAGCACTTACTGATGAAGATCAAAGACTACAGCCTTCATATGGATTATACCTCAACATAAACAAAACAAAAATCCTCATGACTGGACCAATAAGCAGCATCAGGATAAATAGAGAAAAGATTGAAGATGTTAGGCATTTCATTTTAATTGTATCCACAATCAATACCCATGGAAGCAGCAGTAAAGAAACCAAACGACGTATTGTATTGGGCACATTTGCTGCTCTGAAGTGTTAAAGAGCAAAGAAGTCACTTTGAAGATTAAAGTGCACCTGATGCGAGCCATGGTATTTTCAGTCGCCTCATATGCACTCGAAACCTGGACAATGAATAAGGAAGACCTAAGAAGAATTGGAGGAGTTCTGGTGGTGTAGTGATAAGGTGGTTGTTGTTGTTGTTAAGTGCCATCGAGTCATTTCCGACTCATAG